GGTTTGGAGGTGTGAAGGGGAATCTGTAGATAATGCAGAAACCTCGTTTTGGCTAACAGTCTCCTTCCCCACAGTCTCTTATGATAAGTATAATAAGTGTCAAGCAAAATTTAGATGGCAGAGATCCTTCTAGCTCCAGAAAACCACAAGGACCATTCAGAAGAGTTGGTCGTAATGGAACATAACTGAAAGACAAGCCCTGCCAGGAAGCTCCACCCCTGGTCACGGAGACCTGAGCATGAAATGCATACAGGATGCTCACTCTGCCCATCTTGAATTTGAAAGGAAATACAATGTAGAAAATCCTGGATGGAATGAGAAGAGGGATCACCTGTCATAGGCTTCCTTGCTTTTTTTCTTCTGGGTGTTTCTGTGAAGAATTGTATCAGCTTTTGTTTACTTATTTTTTAGAGTAAGCTTTTTTGGATACACACCATACATAGAGAAAAATAAATCAAAAGTATGAAACTTGATGAACTTCCACCAAGTTAGCATATCCATGTAAGTAGCATCTGGTCAGGAATGGACACTACTGGAGCCCTACATGCCCTCCCATGGCCTCTCCCAGTCACCACCCCCATCCAGGGCAGCCCTCTCCTGACTTCTGTCGCAATCATTAGTCTGGCCCCTTTTTGAAATTTATATACGTGGAATCATACGATATGCACTCTCTAATGTTTAACTTCTTTTGTCTAACTTTATATTTGAACTCTTCACCCATACTTTTTCATGTAGGAGTGTTTTTCATTGCTGCGAGGTGTTTCATTTTATGACTGTCCTCCAGGATATTGATCCATTCTGCTTGTGTTGTGAGTTGTTTCCCATGAGGGGCTAATAGGAACAGGGCTTCTGTGAAGAGTCTTGTACATGTTTCTTTTTTCCCCCTGCATCTACATGTTTCTTAATGTGTGAGAGAGAGTGTGTGTGTGTGTGTATATATGTGTGTGTGTGTGTGTGTGTATGTGTATGTGTGTGTATGTGTGTGTGTGTATATATATGTGTGTGTATGTGTGTGTGTATGTGTGTGTGTGTATATGTGTGTGTGTATGTGTGTGTATGTGTGTGTATGTGTGTGTGTATGTGTGTGTGTATATATGTGTGTGTGTGTGTATATGTGTGTGTGTATGTGTGTGTGTGTGTGTGTGTGTGTGTATATGTGTGTGTGTGTGTTTCAGTCAGTCAGGTATACTTTTTTTTTCATTGTATTTCCTCTTGTAAGAAGCGTTGAGGTAGTTTCAATAATTAAATGCACATTAGACTAGATAGTTAACACAAAGTAAAGCAGAAGATTAAAAACAGCTATTGTGGATACTGGTTAATATTGGATAATATTGCCAAGAAATAGATGATGAAAAGATTCATTGAGTGCTAGTGAGTACCAGGCATTGTCTAAACTCCTTTGTAGGTCTAGGAGGAAAAGGTGATTATCATGGAATACTGAATGTAGATCTGAACCTCTTGGTTGCCAGGAGTTTTTGGTAAGGATGGGGAGGCTGTTTAAAATGGAAAATGCGGAGGGAGGTCTTGGCTGGGGAGGGCTGGACAGCCTGAGCCAGGCACTGGCCAGGCCCTTCCCTAGACACAATACATCCTCAAGAGCTTGCAAAAATAAATAAATAAAATAAAATAAAATGGAAAGCAGAGGGATGTTGAAGGGTCAGGATAACTTCTTGATGGCCGAACCGAAGCTGTGTAAACGGCCAGTGGCACCGCTGGCTGCTGTCGTCTCCTTGCCTCTAGTGCACACAGCTCACCTTGGAGTCGTGGAGAGGCCCATCCTCTCAGCAGGAACATGGAAGCACTTGTGCAAGGTGATGTTCTAGGTGGGATTCACCTGACCCACTCAGCAGAGTGTAGCCCAGTGGACCTGCACTGGTCTACATGAGGGACCCTTCTTTCTTTGTCATGCGGAGATTTTTGACCTATATGGATTGACACGAAAGAGAAGCGTGGTGAGGCCTCAATAGTCCTTGCATCAGACTAGCCAATCCCTAATAATCAAGATGCGCTCTTAATTTTCAGTTTAAGTCCTATTCCTTTCTTGGTAGCCATTTATCCACATAAACCTGGGATCGACAGTAGATTCTGCCTTGGCATGCTTGCAGACAGTGTGACTTGGGTTCGGGGTGGGACTTCATCTTGGCCTCCATGCCTCAGCTCTTATCTGGCTGGCTGTGGTTCAGAGGCTGTGTTTCTCCTGGAATTTCCTGGTAGTATCTCAGCCAGACATACTAAAATTATAAAGGAACCATTACTAGACCTTAGAGTTGATGTTGTCATTATTTACAAATCAACTTTCTCATGGGTTGGCAGTGTTCAAGGCCCTCCCTGCACCTAAATGTAGAGTTTTGGGGGGTGCCAGTGACCTTTAGACATTAACTTGTCATTAGTTATATAATGGCTAACGATGACAGAGAGATGAAATGCAGTTGGGTAAAGTTGGATTAATGTCTTTCGCATGATTGTTTCTACAATTACAGTAAAGTTTCTACGTATGGGAGGAAATTTTTAAGAAAAAGCTATTATGTAGGAGCCCTGGCAAGATGATGATTACTACTTATACCTGAGAATTCTCGCCCTTGTTCCCTATGTCTTCTGTAGAATCAGAAAATCATTTGGTAAATTCATCCAAAGTAAGAAAATGGGCAGTTTGCCTAAAGGTCACCCAGTGAGTTGGTGACATGGCTAGGGTGAGAACGCACCCTCCCATTCTCAGTGCAGCGGCCTCCTTTGCCAGGCCGCCAGTTCTTGGGAGCTTGTCCTCATGCCTGCTGAGCCCTGTTTTCTCCTTGTCCCCTTTTGTCCCCCACCTTCCCCTTCACGCAACTTACTCTGGATCTAGGGCCCCAGTTTTCCCACTCTTCAAGGCTGAGGCCTGGGTACCCCAGTATCTCCCCCTGAGGCTCGTGAGCCCCAAAGAGGAGAAGGCCACAAAAGGAAGGCTCCAACAGTTGTGACCATTCACCCTGAGCTCCATCCATGCTTCCCTGGGCAAACGAGGGAAGGAATTGGCCGGAAATGGGTCTAGAGAGTTCATAATGATTGAGAGGGAGCCTTCCAGTGTGTAGTTGTTTAGGTCTGTCTCTTAAAACTACCTTTTCGCCCCCCACTTCTTCTGCTGGCCTTGGGAGCCTTGCAGTGCTCCTGAGTACCCACCTTGCCTGCCACAAATAGGGAAGTTAGAGGAAGTGGAGCTGGATTCGGTTCATGTGCCACTTGTTAGCAACTATGGTAAAAATAACACAAACTAGCATTTAAGCAGGCTGGATGGCTGAACCAGAATCTGGAGATTAGCCATGGACTGAATTGACTGCTGTGAAGTCACAATTAGCATAGGCTCTCTCTCTTTTCAATTGGTCTGGACAATGCAGAACTGGCTAGCCATGAACAAAAAAAAAGATTCACGTTACTGCTTGATTTGCAAGATCCCAGTTGCATGTAAGCACAAGCCAGGATATCAGGAAATGATGACTGGGCATGGGTGTGTGCATACACACACACACACACACACACACATACACAATGGTTCACATTACTGTTTTATTTGCAAGGTCCCAATTGCATGTAAGCACAAGCCAGGATATCAGGAAATGATTGTTGGGCACCAGTGTGCATGTATAAGCGCACACGCACGTGTGCGCGCGCACACACACACACACACACACACACACACAACATACTGAGGTGATTGTTTGGGAGACACTTAATTCAGAGCCTTTAGGCTCTATTTCAGAATCTAAGGGGAAAGAACTGTCCCATCTGAAAAACCCAGATCATCTCAAGCTGACTTCTGAAGCAAGTCATATCCCCGAATCTTGCTCCTCATTCTCAGGCCAGCCTTTTCATAAAATTTTAGCCTCAGAAGAGTGATAGAAACCATCCTGCAGGTGGCTTCCTTACCTCTGGTGGTGTCAGCATTATAATGAGAATGCCAGGCACTGTGTTTCTTCTATCTTGCTCTTTGTCATCCTAAGATGCAGTACAAAAATTGCCAGCACTTCGAAGAAAACAAATGTTTATAATTATGTGAAAAATCCTTTTTTTTTTCCTTTTATTGGGGGGGGAATCCCTTCAATTAAATGATTGTAATATTATCCCTGAGAAGTCATAAACTTAGTCATTTTTAGTCATCTTTCAAATATCTAGGAGTTTTTTTAAACCAAGTTCATTTTTATTTATTATATACTCTTCTTCCATTTCATGAAAAAATATTGAGTTTGACCCAATTGGTGATAACATTCAGAATTCTGCCCAAAGGATTCTAGAGCTTTAGAACAGGAGAAAAAGTGCTGCAAATGCTCACAACACAGAAAATAGGCTATAGAGAATACAGATCGGGGTTCTGCTGGGTTTTTGTTATTCTCTAATCCTGAGCAACGTTGAGCTTAAAAAGCTCCTTCTTTTAATCCAAGATTTAAGAGTTCAGCCAAATTCCGTAAAATAGATTAATAAGAGCTCTTGCATGCTACCCCATAATAAAACTTATGTGTCTAAGTAAGATAGCTCACTAAATTCTTACAGTATTAGAGAAATTATTCAAACTCTAAAATTGCTTCTAATCTCTTATTTCATCTAAATGACAGTATGAGATATGCCAGTTAGCAGGTAAGAGGTAAGAAGAGTACTGTTCAGTGAAATGCCTGCAGTTTATACCTCTGTAACGGGTTTAGGAGAAAGCTTGTATTATTTAGATAATGTCAATTTATTGAAATCTAAAATTCTGCCTCTGTAATATGTACATATGTTATTTGGGCTTTTAACTTGGTTTTTACAGCTTTCCTTTACCCTTCTGCCTACCACTAAAATGCATAGCTAAAATGTATGAATTCCATAGATTACCATAGAAATAGGCAAATTAATTCAAGTGTCCAAATTATACAGTATTTTTCATGGGTATTATATAAAATCCTGGAAGCTTTTAGTGTTCAGTTCTGCTTGTATTTGTGTGTTTTGTGTTATTTTGAAACTGCCATATATCAAAGTCAGTTTTCTTTCTGCAGCATTTTTTGTCCTCAAGAAAATACGGAAGAAGCCCTGCTGTTACTGCTGATTAGCGAATCAATGGTACGTGGAATGTGTTTTTACATCGTTCTTTCCCCGGCCCTGTAGTCTCTTTTTTGATACAGCCATTCTGCCAGTATGACGACTCTTTTTCTTGAGAGAAAATACTTTCTAGAGGGTATACGTGGATGGGAAAAAACAGTAGAGGTTTAAAAAGAGGGTTGTTTCTTAATTCCTGGACCAGCTAGCAATGTCCCTTGGTTAGCCTGGAGCTTGGAGCTTCTCTATCTTCTATCTTGAAGCAGGTATCTTAGTTCATTCATTTATCCACCCAGTATTGGCTGAACATTAATGCAATTGTATCTAGGTAAACCACAGCTAAAATGACCACCGGAGGAATCTTAAAAGGAGAAAGAGGCCCCCAAAGGGTGACCTTTATAAGCCTCTCAATTTGCCCTGGAGTAGGGGAGAATTTGGGGATAAGTCATTTGTTGGTTCTATGAACCTCTGGTTTTCACAGCAGGAACTTGATGAAACTCTCATCCTCCTGCCCTGGTTGTCTCTCCCAGCTCCCAGCTGTCACCAGACACTGTAAAGTCCCAGGCCGTGAGAACTCACTTCTCTTCCCTGTCACTGCTATTGTGAGGGAGGTTTTGCCAGACCCTCTGATTGCTTTGAAACATTTTCTTAGTATTTGGCCAGGATATCGAATTTTAGGTCTATTTCACCACTCATCATTTATTGGGTTTCTGTCCTGTATATCTATCACTAGGCATTGTGGCCCTAGCTTGAAACCTTCAGGATCATGTGTGTTATAATGGCGAATTCCTCAGCAGAATCGTGATGTGTACTGAGGACCTGAGCAGAATGGGCGGGCTCCTGGAATCAAAAGATCTTGAGGGCTCACATCCCCTTCCCTCATTTTACACATGAGGAACCCGAGGCCCAGAGCAGGCAGAATGCGTGCATCACGCAGTGGTCTCCTGTTCCTGCTAGGAGACTGTACTGCCACCTCCCCATAGCTGTCACTGCTTACCCCCAACCCCTGGGAAAGCCCAGGGGAGAAAAGGGAATCGTAACTAAAGCAAGAGAAGGCATTTCCCTTCTTGCCCTCCCCACACATACTGTTTAATGGGAGGTATAAAATGGACTCAGGTGAGTATAGACATGGGGTCTGAGCATAATAACATACATGCACAGAGAGAAGGAGGGATCAGAAGAGGCCAGAACTCATGAGAGGGCAGCTCTCTTGCCTTTGATTAAAACTTTGAATGGCGGCCGGGCGCAGTGGCTCAAGCCTGTAATCCCAGCACTTTGGGAGGCCGAGATGGGCGGATCACGAGGTCAGGAGATCCAGACCATCCTGGCTAACACGGTGAAACCCCGTCTCTACTAAAAAAAATACAAAAAACTAGCCGGGCAAGGTGGCGGGCACCTGTAGTCCCAGCTACTCGGGAGGCTGAGGCAGGAGAATGGTGTGAACCCGGCAGGCGGAGCTTGCAGTGAGCTGAGATCCGGCCACTGCACTCCAGCCTGGGCAACAGAGCGAGACTCCGTCTCAAAAAAAAAAAAAAAAACTTTGAATGGCCCACCGATGTTGACAAGAGCAAGCCTGCGTGAGTTACCACCTCTTTTGACTTGGAGGCTGTTTGGTGTCATTGGGCTTACTTCCTCTCAAGGAAGCAGGGTTGCCCGATAGTCAGCTGGTAACTTAGGATGTTACATTCTCTGCTTGCCTTGGTGCAATCAGGGAAGCACATAGGTGAGCAGGCTGGCACATGGTGGCATTCAAGTGAACAAGTCTCCCCAGGCTTCCCCACCGGGGCATCCATGGAGCCAGCTCACCTTGGCCTCCTGGTCAGCATTCCCTCATCCCAAGCTGGGTCCTTGGCAGGTAGTTCCCTTTGGGCAAACTTGGTTGGTTATGGTGTACACGTTCTGAAAGCATGGTGACTATACATTTTAGATTACCTGGACAATTCTGATTGAAAATATTATGTTCCATTGTCAGATGATATGTTCCAGTCTGCAATTTGGAAAACATGGCCACCTCTCTAAAATGCTTGCACTAAGTGGAGATGTCTGTGGAATGATGTCTCCAACTCTCCTGCTTCTTAATTGAAGTGATAGAAACTAATAATACTCAAACATTGAGATCCCTTTGAGACAGTCAGAGTTGGCTCTGTGGTATGTAATTTCCAGAAAAATCTCTTCAGGGGATGTTGAAATCCAGTGATGTCATCAGTGGGTATGAAGGACAAGGTTTCTAACCCAAATGATTATGTTCTCCCTATAAATCATTTCAGAAAATGTAGGTAGAAATCTAAATGAAGTTGCTTTTGGAAGCCTTTTTTCTATGTCCTTTGACTTCTCGATTTTTTGGTTTTTAGACAGAAAATGAATGTGCTCAATTTCAAAACCAAAATGAAAATTTGTGGTTTTTGGATGTCAGAAAATTGTGTTCTTTGTTGGTTCTGACTTTAATTCAGAAGCATGAATTTGTCCATAGCTTCTCCACCTACAAGATGTCACTTAGAATTGTGCTATTTTCTAACCACAAAACAAATTAGTTTCCCCTAGGAGAATGGGATTATAAGAACTTGATTTGCAGAACTACCACTGAGGCAATATTCTGGGATATTTATTATTTGTGGGTCTGTTTGAGGTTCTGTATTGTACCTTTTTAGTCAAAAGATACTGATACTTTCTCTAAAAATGAAAACAATGCATTTGGTGTAACTTGAAAACCTTTCATAAATAGCATGTTTGTTTTGCTCTCTTCCAGGCATCGGTCTCAGTATAGAATATGTATAGCAAATAAATAAAATGAGACCATTTGCAACAGGCCCTGTTTCCTTCAGAGCTGCTTTTTTTGGGGGCTCAAGAGGGACTCCTAACAAGAAAAACTTAGAATGAAATCTTCAAAAGCAGGCTTGTTTCCGTCAGAGATGACTCACTTTGTAGGAAGTGGCCTGTCTTATATATTCTTATTTGTCTTTGACATTTAAGAGCAAGGAGTTTTAAAGTGAGTAAGTACTGATGGGTGGCTAAAAGTAAATGCCTTGGACTCACACACAAAGAAAATGCATTTTGTCTCATTAGTGAGAGGGAAGGTGTGTGCGTGGCCTTTTTGAATGTCAGGAGGAAGATCAATGTCAGCATGCCGGGACAAGTGCCCCTGGAACCTCATGTACCACTTTCACAGGAAAGACTGGGGGCGGGCCTGTCTCTGCTCCCAAGGACAGGTGGATCTGCAGACTTCTGTTAATTAGCAGGGGGAAAAGGGCAGGTGAAATCGAAATCTAACTTTGTTGATTCTGAACTTCCTATTAGGGAAAAAGGGAAAATGAGCTAGCTATTGAGTCTCATACATGTGATATATTTAGAGGAATCTGTAGAGAAATTAAATTTTAGAAGTAATGGAAACAAGTTGCTGTAAAGAGCATTTGATTTCTGGATAGATGAGATTAATAAGTTTGAATGTGCCTGATGTATTTCTGTGCTAAGCTTAGAAAATTGTTCTCTTGAGTCTTCTGTGTTAATATCTTTTAAAGGAAAAATCTGCTTTCTTCTTGTTTTCTCTTATATATCTGTGTTGTGCTTCCCTAAACAAGATTGAATTCGTCTTTGTGTTCTGTTCCAGTGAAGATGTCATATAGGGATTTGAATATTGCTTGGTGATAGAGGAAAAGTAAGATAGATCTCTGTAGGATTCATGGAACTTGATGGCACAATTGGGTGTTGGGAAATGCAGGGCTGGGAATTTTCTCCCCCTCTTTAATGTAGAGCAGAAGCAGGATTCGCGAGTGAGGCGCAGCAGGGCCTCACTTGATGGATGATTCGGCTGCTCCAGAGCGCAGCTGCATCTTCCACGAGGCTGGCTGTGAACCCGAGCCCAGGGAAAACTTTGTATCGGCTGCCAAGGCTTCCTCCAAATGCCTGCCGACAGGTACAGGTGCCCTCTAGGTTCACAATTCTAAGACTTCCGTGTTTGGATCATCCCATATATCATGTTCTGCAGTGCCCAGGGGATTTTGAATAAATAACCCAAGGTGACAGGCCTCTGCTCATTCCTACCCTTGTCTCCATTCCCTTGGCAAATTGGTAGGGGCAGGAGGGCCTAGGTGGCCTCCCCACCATGCAGCACTAGGCTCTTTCTCCATCTGCTTCTCTCTTCTGTGTTTTTTCAGGCCAACCGGGATGCTGTGCTGAGCAGGATACCTGAACACAAGAGTGACCGCCTCATCAGTCTACAGAGTGCATCTGTGGTCTATGACTTACTCACCATTGCTCTTGGAAGAAGAGGCCAGTATGAGATGCTGTCAGAGGTACAGCCGCTGAGTGTGGTTGACATCCAGGTGGTGGGTGACAGTTGCATGGTGACCCCAGGGAAGAGTTGTGAGACCTGGACCTGGGCCCCCCTCTATTAGTGGCAGCCATGTGATCTTGGGCCAGTCACTTAACTTTGGTTTTCTCCCCTGAAGAATGGGCGTTGGGCTAAATGATTAGGTGGTGGAATTGATCTAGTCTTTTACCATGAGGGTTCCATAACCCACTGGGCTGTGAGTTTGTGTGTGAGGGAAGGCAAACATTTCTCAAGCAGTTTCTCTTTCAGTTAATTTCCACCAACTGAAAATCTCCCATCTGTGATATTAGTTTCCTCATAGAACAGGTTTGGTTTAAAGTATCAGTGTGACCAGTGAAATTGCCAGTGGCCTGACAATTTCAGGCACAGCGTGTTATGTTAGCTGGCATAGATCGTTTCATATAAAGGAGACAGTCTTCTTTCAGAGTCTTTTGCTTGTTCAGAAGGGACCCTCGTGGATTTCAGATCTTGTACAAGGTACTGTCATGTTCTCACTCCCTCAGTGTCTAAGAAACGCTTAGGATGGAGGCTTGACTCTTTCACAGTTTCAGGAGAAGCTGGTTCATCTTGGGCTGTGGTTATGCATTATTAGGTTCCTGCCCAAAATATCAGATTCTACCATGGTAAGGCTAAATAAATAACAAGAAGATCATTTTATCTTTTCTTTAGCAAAATAGAGAGAAAAAAAAATCCCTATTTTGTTAAAAGGAACTTTTCCATGTTATTTATCTTTCTCTTTCTAAATTTATACCCATTGCAACAGCCTCTGGGCACGAGGACAGGGAATGAAATACAGTAACAGATTGGCTGAAATCAGATAAGTGCCCGACTCACCCTCCAGCCTGCCAGTGCATCGCCACATTAGGCAGGAACCTTGGGGAAACAGATGAGCCTGCGTGGCTTGAATCTTTTTTTAGTCCATGGTTTGGTGACTCTACAGGGCAGTGGTTACTCAGCCTCACAATCCGACCTGACAAAGCAGTGTGTGCAGATGCCCCCACCACACGCAGCTCAGCCCTGGGGTTCGGTCCAGGCTTGGAATTGGCCCAGGTTGTTCATCCCTAAATGGATCGAACCTCTGCTGGTACCTTGATTTCCTGGGCCCCTCTTCTCCCCACCACCTAAGTTGCTGTCAGCTGTGTCCACCACAAAGTCTGTCACTGGGGACCATGCCACCGAGCTCACAGTTGAATTCCTTTAAGGTGAGTTTGTTCCTCCAGACAAAACACATATCACCTCTCTAGGTCCAAGGATGACAGTGGTACGCACACATCTACTTCCGTCCCATTGGGTAGCAATGTTGCCTTTCCCCGGCTCGAAATCTCCTAGTTCTGAAACAGGAGTGAGGAGCTTGAGGCGTCTGGCCCTGTTGACTGGCTGGGTGGTCTCTGCCCCTGGCTTCCCATTGTTCCATGAATGCTCTAGGGGGTGGTCATCACCCTCATGGATTCCTCTGCAAGCTGCGGCTCTGGAGCCTGTGCCTGCTCCTGGCATAGAATACTAGGACCTTGTTTTCACCCAGATGACTTCTGTCTTGATATCGTATGTAGCTCCCATCTCGTGGTGGTGACCTGCCTCCCAGACGACTGGGTATGTGGTCGCGGGAGCCTTTGCGAGTCAGAACTTCACCCCCCTAGTCACATTGCAAATGGTGGTGCAGGCCAAAGGTTGCCTCGGAGAAGCCGGAGTAGGAGGGTGGAAGAAAGGCAAATTTAGTACTGTATATCCCTGGAACCTTTTGAATTTTGTACCATATCTGTGTTTTATCTAGTAAAAATCTCAACCAACTGATAAAATATATGAAATGAAGGATGTTTATTTCTTCAGCACATATATGTACTGTCACCTCTTCTGTGCCAGAGGCTCTGATTAAGGCCAGGGATACAGCCAGGAGCAAGGTGTGACCCCAACCCACAAGCTGCCCCCAGCCTGGAGCTGCCAGGTGTGACAAGCAGCTGCGGCCCATGCGCTGATGGGGGCGGGCCCAGCACAAGCTCTGCGTGCCTTATCTAGGGGTTGGATATTTGGCTTCAGCCTTGCCTGTGCCAACCACTTAGGCAACTGGAGCGAGCATTCGACAACTGTGTTGTCTCAGATCAACCGACTAAAACGGTAGATGTCGTAGGAGAAAGGTGAAAGCTCACAGCATCTCAAGGCTGCCTGGCCCATGGTTGGATAGCTCAGTTACTGAAGATAGGGGTTAGGTCCACCCTTTGCTGAGTGTGGACCCGCTCTCCCTCTGTCCGAGGCCACATCCTACTCTGGGTGTCCCACTTGTCTTATTGCCTCATTTACTGGGGTTTTTCTGAATCCATTTTTTTTCCCCCTCCTCATCTGCCTTTCCATTTTCTCAGGACTTTAAGTTAAAAGGATAACTGGCTTTTCTTTTTTTTTTTTTAATTGAAGTACAATTCACATAACAAACTTAACCATTTTAAAGTGTAGAATTCAGTGGCATTTAGTACGTTCATCCCACTTAGTACATGCACATTTAGTACGTGCAGCCATCACCTCAAATTGCAAAACCTTTTCCTCACCCTGTAAGAAACCCTATACCCATTAAGCAGCCACTCCCCGTTCCTCACTCCCTCCAAGTCCCTGTCAACTACTCATCTGCTTTTTTTCTCTATGGATACTGATTTGGGGTATTTCATATAAATATAAATAGCCAATATTTGGGCTTTGGTGTCTGGCTTCTTTCACATAGCATAATGTTTTCAAGGTTATCCACATTGTAACATGGATCAATATTTCTTTTTATGGCTGAATAGTATTCCATTGTGCAGATCTACCACAATTTGTTTTTCCATTCATTAGCTGATGGAATTGTGGCTGTTTCCACCTTTTGGCTACTATGAACAGTGTTGCTGTCAGGATAACTGGATTTTAAACTTCCTATATTACCTTTCTCTGAGCTCCATAAATGTTAGCAATTATCGTTATTATCATTTGTCTTAGAGGTATGTTATATTTCCCTGTCTTCATTTCCTCCACTGTCAGCAGAGCAATCTTTCTGAGACACAGGAATAGACATGCCAGCCTTCTGTTCACAAATATTCCACAGACCCTCTCTCTTTCTTTTTTCTCTTGTTTTCTTTTCCTTTCCACCCATAATGAAATTGACTTCATTGTTTATCTTTCTGCCGTATGCAATAGTCCTGCATGCTCCTTGGAGAATCAAATAATACGTAGAAAATATAGAAAAGGAAAGAAAAGTGCCTTGGAATCCAGCTCTCCTGAGATAGTTGACTACTCATTGACATTTTAGAGGTGAACTTTACATCTGTCTTTATGAATAAATGTGTGCATTATGTAAGTTTTGTTGAATGGGACAGTATCTTACACATTTTACTGTGGATATCCCCTATCTGTCTTCTTTGCTTCATTGGCACCTCACCCATCTCTGCCTCCTCAACCCCAAACTCAGGTCATCAACATAGTGTGTCACAGGCTCTAGAGTTAGAGAGCTTTGGTTTGAGTTCTGGGTCTGCTATGTACCAGTCATGTGAGCCTAGGCATGTCACTAACCTCCTATGCATCAGTTTATTTTCCTGTTAAATAGGGGTAATAATTGTGTGCATGTATATCTCAGACAGTTGGGAGATGCATATTCATTAATCCATGTAAAGTACTCAGAACAGAGCCTAGCACTTAGAGCTCGGTAAGTGGCAACTGTACACTGCTGCTCCTGCAGTTACTACCATTGTATACACAGGAATTACTAGGCACAGGGGGAGCAACAAAGGATACAGAAAGATCTTTTGCCTTCAAGAAATTTCCACTCTAGTTAGGGAGACCACATGGAAACAAACAAAAAGATAATCACATTAGAGAATACGTAGTAGTGCAAAGCATGTTAATTGGCAGGTGAATGGAATAGGCCAATTGCAGCCAAGTTTATAGGTTGGGAGTGCCAGTAAGAGATTATGAACAGCGGATATATGAATTGGCTCTTCAAGGCCTGATAGGCATTAAGTGGTCTAGGAGGAGAGAGACCCTCTTCATCCTTAAGCTCACAGAGCTGTGAAGGCACTGGACCTGAGGGAACGGGAACCCAGGGCTTGCTCTCATGGAGAAGTGGGAGGAGAGGAGCTTGGAAAGAAAGTGTGGGGCCTGATTGTCAGCACCACAACCTATTGGCAGACTTTACGTGTGCCCCTTGCAGATGCGATCTAGATATATCACCCTGTGGCTCATCTGTGAGCAAGTCCTCTTTGCCTCAGAAACGTTGCTAGATCTTCTTTTACATGGGCGGAAGCTTTTGTGGACAGAAGAGTTCGTAAAACCATCAGTGAATTGTGAGAGAGAGAAGAGGCCTCACCTCCTTCTCACCCTGTCCTTGCGCTTTCCTTCCTTCTCTTGTCCCCAGCCAGCACTAACACTTACACGTCCGGGCACAGCATGTCTTCCTGCTTCCTGGCTCCTCTCCTTGGCTGACCTGGGCCCACGGGCACCACAGAGGGTGGGGGCACCTCTGCTGCCACTGCCAGCCCGTGTTCCTCTCTCCTGTCCTTGGCACCCTTGTGCAGCGGGTGTGTCGCGCAGCATTGTGCAGACCCAGCCTTTTAATAACTGTGCTCACAGGGCTAAGCGGGAGCAGAGCCTCTCTTTCCCAAGGAAGCCGGCCTTTCTCTTGTGCTTATTCAAGATGGAAGGCCGCTCTCCCATCTCGAGGCCGGCTGCCTTTGTGTGCGCCTACATCATCGTGCCTTTCTTTCCTTGTGGACTCTTCAGCCAGATGCTGGCCAAAGAGCGTTGTACAAAGGAGACCCAGGCCAAAGGTTTATCATATCCTCATTCTGACAGGTTTAAATAGAAGCACAATGTTTACCATATCTCCAGTGCTGTGAGTTTTCGTGTTTTTAAAGACTAATTGTGAGCCCTGCTGAAAGGTTTGTGTAGGAAGGAACACTTCTTTTTTTCCTCTTCGTTTTAAACAGCAGCACTAGTTGGCATGACAAC